TGCATCGAGATTTAGTGGCTCTGTATTGTTTACCTGGTCTCCTGAGCATTCCCTGATTCCTTTCCATTATGGTTCAGAAGAGGCTTTGAATGGGATCTCTTGATGCTAAATAATCACTTCGTGCTGATAGAACACTGGTCATGTGAAGTGCTCAGGGAAACATTGTCAGTCCTTCTACTCTTTGGCTTGACTGGGAGGCTGGAGGGGTGAGGAGAATTTGCCTGAAATAGAGCAGGTAAGTTAGGAACCTGTCTGCAGCCCCTGCCTTGTTGGAATACTGAGATGTAGATAGGTTGAAAGCATTTCCCTAGGGGAAGCAGCTGCAGCTGTGCCTGCCACACAGTGCACTGAAAATGCTTGCCCTGCAGTGGCATATGGGGTCTCTCAGTCTGCAGGGGTTGGGGATTTGCAGCCTTTCTGTGAAGTCTGGAGAACTCAGGGATGCTGTCTCTGCTTTACCTGTCCTGTACACAGCGGTGAAGCACCTGCAGAGTTTGGGAGCCAGTGTGGTTGAAGTCTCTCTTCCAGAGATGGAGGAAGCCCGAGTGGCACATGTGATCTGCATTCTCAGTGAGATGAGGGACTTCCTGCAACCTGACTTCAATAAACATTTCCATGAAATGGTAAGTAGCAGCAGCTTGGAGCAGTGTCAGTAGTTGTTCTGACTGATACAGATCAAATGTCATGTCGGTGAGATACCTGAGGTGCTCCTGCTTGTTCTATGACAAACTATCTGCTGGAGAGCTACTGGTATAGAAGAGCAGACCTGGAAGAGAACTCCTGGGCTGTCACAGTTCAGTTTTCTGCAAGCAGAGCCTTGATCAGTTTTTTTCTATTTCAGAATTTGGAAACTCAGGCTAGCCTGGCCTTGGCTTGCCAGTTCACAGCTCTGGATTATATTAAGGTAAGGAACATACTGAGATGAAGGCTGAAGGGAGGCACTTAGTGAAACTGTAAAGGTGGGGTAGGGGCTTCTCTTAGCCTCCCCACACGCATGGGAAGATGTCACCCAGCTTTATCTGTCCTCTGCTGTGAGAGCATGCTGCATGGTAGGGCACCACAGAGGACATGCCACCTGTCCTGTGCCCTGATTCCAAATGGTGGGAATGGTGTGTTCTTCTGCAAAGGCAGAGACGCTGATGGGCAGAGTCTGCCAGCATGAAACATGAATTTTGTGAGCCAGGAGGGCCCATCAGACAGTATTCTCTCTGCTTGCAGGCAAATCGACAGAGAACTCGGAGCATGAGATTTTTGCAAGAGGTCTTCAGCACTGTGAACTGTATCCTTACACCAGGTATTGGCACTCTTGGCTACAGAGACAGTCCTCAACAGCTGTGTGGTGCCTTTTAGGAGCAGTCACTTCATTAACTTCCCCTCCTCAATTTTGAGAGTATGACTTTTGTGCACTTTGCTGTGACTTGCATCCTTAGAGGATAATGCAGCCTGATTAGAGACACCACTGTGTATTTCTAGACTTAGTGGTTATATCCATGGCACTGCATCAGGTTGCCCAGAGAGCATGCAGAATCTTCATCCCTGGGAATATTCAAAAGCTATTTGGACATGGTCATGGGCACCCTGCACTTGCCAACCATTCCTGAGCCAGAAGGTTAGACAAGATGACTTCCTGAAGTCCCTTTCAAGTTCAGTCATTTTGTGATTCCTCCACAGGTGTTCCTTGCACTGCTCCAAGAATTTATGAATCTGACCTCTTGACTGGGAGCAGTGATATGACCTGCACAGTCCGGTGCATGAGGTAAGGAAAATGCTACTTGCACTACAGAAACAAATGTTTGGGAACAGCTGGCAAAGAAACTCAGACTGGAAGGTGGGAGAGATTAATCATAGCTGCCTCTACCAAAAAAGGATGAATTTGCTGCTGTCCCCAGGAATATTGATGACAGCTTTTTCCCTCTAGGTTCATGCAGCTTGGTAACTTCACTGGGATTCCAGGCCTTGTGGTCCCCATTGGATATTCTACTGCTGGGCTCCCAATTAGCCTCCAGGTGAGTATTTGCTCTTTGTGAATGCTGAGGCACAAAATCCCCAGCTGGCTTTGTCCTGAAGCATCACAGCCCGGTCTCTGCTGTTCCACACAGCTCACTTGAGGAGCTGTTACTGGAAGTAAAAGCTTTAATTTGAGGGTGGTTTGCCTCACTCCTAAATGGCAGAGGTCTCTGGATATCTTTGAGAAAGATTTCTCTGTCTCCCTGTCGACTTGCATCAATACCCAGTATTCATCGCTACCCTTTCCTCTCTTATGTCTCATTTCTGTAACTTCTTTTAAATCCTTTCCCCTTGAAACAAGTCTCATGTAAAGGAAGGATCCATGTCTTGCAATTGAAAGTCACACAGCTGCCTTTATCCCGAATACAGTGATGCCATACTTACTGGGGTAAAAGGAGAAAACATCTTTTGAGGATGTTGAGGTGGGGGGAAATTGTTTCCAAGACTTTCAAGATCATCTGTATGATGCTACTTTTTTTCATTCATCCTTCTCATTCTGCCTCTCACCTTCTTCCAGGTCATGGCAAAATGGTGGGATGAAGCTGTTCTTCTGAGGATTGGCCTAAAGCTAGAGCAGTTCCGTGACCAGACCAAAAAACCATCCATTTATTATGACATCCTGGCGTGATGGAGCAACCAAGATGGGGAGCAAGTCTGGTTTTTTCCTAGTCTGACCTGACCAAGTATTAGAGTGAACTTGTTTTCAGTGATCATCAGAATAAGGCATAGCAGCAGGCCCATCTGAGGAATGGGGACAAACCACTGATCTAATCAGGCACTGAGGCTGAGCAGACATAATTTCTGCTCCCTGCTTGGTGGATGGTCCAGATTATACTAGGGAGACTAACTGTGCTAGCTAGTTGGGGTTTTGCCAACAGGGGAAGCTGCAACTATCTTCTACAATTTCTTCCCATGTAGGAGTGCTGTGTATGGGTGGAAGGCAGTTGCATCTGCAGGACTGCATGCAGGCAGCTCATACTACTGTACATGGCAAGGTAGAACCTTACCCTTCTAATGGTACTCCTCCTCTTCCAGTACAGAGCAAAGGTACTGTTTCTGAAGGGGAAAGGCAGCAAACACTGCCTAGCACCTTGGAATGAGGAGGATCTTAACTCACCTGCACTTAGGCAGTGTTTGTTTTGGCCCTGTACTCAGGCACTGGGTACAAAAACCCAGCAAACCATAAAGCCTGTAGCTAAGGAGGTGCTGCCAACAGTGCAAGGTCAGCCCAACAGCTGCACGGTGTCTGGGAGTGCTCACTGCCCCAGAGTCCTGCCTCTCTTAAATCCTGGCATGCAAGGGAAGGAAAAAGCCACACCATGAACCCTCCCTGACTCCACCCCAAAGCCCTGGTGCAGTGTTTTGGCTTTCTTTTCACATCTCCATTTCCCAAGCTAAGCGTTTTCTCCTGCTGGTTGCTTATATATAAGCCTACTATCAAATGGAAGAAACCACTGGATAATGCTATGAAATACTGTTTAAGGGGTGCTGAGCCAGCTATGAGAAACAGGTGGAATTTCTAGGAAATGCTACTGAGCTACTGCAGAATTGAAGCTGGATGCAAGAAAGGTGTTGCACAAAGAGCAAAAGAGCATATGCAGCAACGAGCCTGCTCTAGATAAGAAGCCAACCTTCTCTTATCTTTAAATTACTTCCTAAAGTAATCAAGGTAGACATGGATAACTACATACAGTATGACATGACTGTAAGCCACCATGTTGTTTTATTGAAAGGCTTCAAAGTGTAAATTCCCTAGTACCTTTGTCCTGCCAGCAACATTAGGGCCATATGAAAGAAGAGACTTAGGAGTAACTAAATCTAAGCATTTGTGTTTATTTTGGGGTGAATGCTCAGAGACATCTTCTGTTGTCTACCTTATCAGGCATCCTGAGATTGTGATCAGGCTGCTGGAGCAGCTGTCCTACAAACAGCAAAGATCACTGTATTGTTATGTAGCTTGGAAGGAAAGAAGAAACACAAAGTAGTTGCAGTTTCTCTTAAACTCGGTACTGTTTTGGAATTTCTTTTTCCCATACCTACATACTTCTTAACCAGAGCTAGCACTTTACTAATGGCTGAAGTTGTCAGATGGCATCTGAATCCAAGAACATTGCATTGCTGTCCCCTGCTTAATTACCTGAGTTAAAACATCAACTCCCACCATCAGCTATCACCAGCATGCACAGTTAATTGTATGGCTGATAATGCTTTTTATCTTGAATGGGATACTGCCACAACTGTTTTTTCACTGGAGTTTAGTATAGCTCAGCTTTAGGAAGAACAGTCTTAAAGCAAGGTATTTCCGATATTATTAATGATAAGTTATTAACACTACCAACATAAATTAAATTGAAACTGATGAGATGTACTGCTTAGCAATAAGGGAGTTGGTAAGTTTCACAAGAATAAATTTCAGCTAGGAACATTTCTGCTTGAAGGAAATAACTGAATATTTCCTAATACAATGGTATTACTCAAGGAATTAAGAGATAAGTGTCTAAAATATTCAGTTATGATCCTGCTAGATAAACCTATTTATTTCAAATCCCTTTCTAAATGCCACACTACCATAAAATTCTAATTTCAATATTTAGTTCATTCTGTGGGCATGGTGAGGGAGCTCAGGTTGCTAGGAGGAGAGATGCTAAAGTAAACAGTTAGTTTTTAAAAATACCTGCATCCTCCTAACAGTGGGAAGAAGAAAGAACTGAGTTTTTACTGGCTGACAGTAACACTGTTTCCTCCCTTTGCCTAAACATGTTTCATCAATGCACATTTCCAGTGCAAGAATTTCCTAGGTCTGAGGTCACTAAAATAAACTTTACTCATCCTGGTGAAAGGCCCCTGTGTTTCCTTTTTTCCCCTGCCTGTTTATCCAAATTCTACAGCAGACCAGTTCCTAGTTACCAGCAGTTGTGTGAGCAAAGCAGACACAGTGACCACACACACAATCCTGTTGCTTCACATAGATATATGTATGGGTATAGATATACTGTATATACACATGGATTTTTTTTTAATATATATATATATAAAATAACACCTTGTTTATAAAGCGACATTTAATTGCCACTGGTTCCCTTCCCGCCCCACAAAAACAATAGTATACAAAATATAAAATATTTTAAATATTTATAAACGTTGCAAGAAAAAAATAGAACTGTACGAAAATATTTTTTTTCTGAGGTTCCCTCCTGCCCTGTGGGATGAGGAAGAGAAGGGGGACACGTCTGGCTGGCCTAGTGTGCCTTGAGTCCATAGTTGTTAAGTGGGTACGAGTATGCCCTGCCTAATACTATGCGGTCCCGGAGGAGCTTAAATAAGACATAATAATTGCAGAAAAGGATGAGGGCCATGGAGAGCGTGTGGTTCCACTTCTCTGAGCGCAGCAGGGAGTAGAGCTGGTAGCACACCACGCTGCCTTCGATGAGAATCAGCAGGTTGAGCAGCCGTAAGGGACGGTGAAAGAGGAACTGCAGAGGAAGAGTAAAGAAGGAGAGATTTGTCATTTGTTGCTGGGTTGAAGTGAGGAGGACTATGGACATAATGCTGTCAGGGACCACTGCAGGGCAGAAGCAGTGCTTGTGCTCCAGCCACCACTAGCTGCTACTTAGGGAAAACAGTAAGGAACAAGGCATGTAGAAGTGGCATTTTGCTCGAGAAGGGGAAGTGGGTGAAATAAACCTATTGGCCTGCTGAAACACTTTCCCATTTCCCTGAAAGGTGTTAACTAGAACCCTCTCAGGGGAATGCCACTGGCTGATAGAGCTGTGGAGAGCTGTGTCACCTCAATGAGAAAGCACTGACAAGGCAGCCGTGGCTCCCACCTTGCCCAGAGGTCGCTGTTTGACAGAATGGGTAAGCCCCATTGCTGCCAAAATGTATTTTGATCAACAGCCCCAGGCTGTCACGGAACACTGAACTCTCTTGTGCTGCAGCTGGGTTTGAGCCTCTCCTCCCTCCCACAGTGGTAAGGCACCAAGCAAGAGAAGAGATACTTGCATAAAAGCGGGCATGGGACACGTCTGAAGGCACTGCTACGTTGTAAGGCCCAACTGCTTTATACAGGCACCGGCTCCGTCGCACCAGAACTCCCTGTGGCCATATTGTGTTTTCTGACCAGCTGTGGGGAAACAATGCCAGAGTGTCAACATCTGTGCTCCCAAACCCCTGAACAAGGGTTCACAGGAATGGACTGCATCTTGAAAAATACCAAAGCCTCTGCCACAAGGACATGTCTTAGCTCCCACTGGAAAAGCACAGAGGGTTGATCACAAGCCCATTCAATGGACTCTTAAGTAGTATGAACAAATGGCTCCCAGTGCTGGAACCTTGTCCACTGCAGTGGAAGGAGCCACCCCCTGCCTCTGCTCAAGATGCTCTCAAGTGGCCAAGAAGAATCTCAACATTCCTTTCTGTGAGGGAACCAGCAGTGACTGGAGGACCTCAGCTCTCTAGAGCAGCCATATCTGTTTTCAGTGAACAAGGCCAGTAGAGTTGCATGGGGAGTGCAGACACATCCTCAGTAGGTAAACACTGCTGGTATTTGCTCATCCACCATAACATCTCAGCCCCTTGCTAGGCATGCCAAGCCCTTCCATCCCCACACTCACATGTGCTGTGGAGCATTGCTGTAGGAGCCATGTTCTAGTTTCTGCCACTTGCCGAGGTGGGCGGCAGACCTGTGGAGCAGGTCACAGTACTTGGGGGGTAGCAGCTGCGTGGTGAGCATGACAAAGGCATTGATCCACACCATGATGAGGTGCTCGCAGGACCAGCGCATGTCATAGTACTGGGTGCTCTGCAAAGAGACCAGACAAGAACTTGGCACCACTGTCACAAAGCAGAAGGAGGATGACAGGGACATACTGCATGTGCATCCAGCAGACCCACACCACACGTTACAGGCATGCGCTTTTGGACTGGTGATTTCAGAGGGTTACGGCTTAGGAGGCGCTCAAGGCTCCCTTCTCCTTGAGCTGCAGGAGAAAGGGCAGGGGATGATGCTGCAGCTGGTGCATCTCCTCCTCCAGCAGCAGGTAACAAGGCAGCTTGCTTGCCACAGAACTGCCCCAGGAGCACCAATTGCACCAAGAATGCTACATGGATTGTGGAGCCCTGCCCATTTCTCTGCACGAACTGGAGCTTATTCAAGTTAGAGAAATGACAGATGAAAAAATATAACCCCCACACTGACAAGAGGTTCTTGGATTTAGTTTGCCAAGCATCCTAGTTGGCTCTAACAGGCTGGCCACCAAAGCCTCTGATCCAAGCACTCAAAAGCCACGATGTTGGATCTGAGACGGGTAACAACAGGTTCTCTTTTCTAGGAAGAACACAGCTATCCATCTGCCTAGGACAGGGGGTGGGAGAAGGGGAGTTAGTAAGTGGGGTGATGGGACTAGAGGTGCATCACATTTATGGCAATACCTATCTGCCAACCAGGAGCAGTACTAGTGCACTCCGGATGCAGCCATGCTCCGCTATCCGGGCTGCCAAAGGGGAGACAGAGAAAAGGGGAATTAACCAGGAATCTGGCCTGGCAGCAGTTCACACAACATTCAGAAGGAGACAGTGGGCAGGGGCACAGAGAGAGCCAGACAACAGCTACCTTCACAAAGCACAGTGGCAGGAATGCCACGTAGTAGGCACTGAAGAGAGAGTTGAAGAGAACTTCCTTGATCCTGCGGTTGAAGTCTGCTTTTAGACACTCCACCTCATTGCGGATGAGATCTGGGGAAAGGGGGCAGCTGTGGGTGGGGATAGATGTAGGATTATTGAACTGTTCTCTCAGGGATTCCCACAGGAGCGAGAAGAAGTCTTTGACCAGGCTGCTGACAGCTGAAGCCCCATCATCCGCCACCTGGTCCTGTACCAAGTAACCACAGTCTGCAGGTAGAGGCTGTGCTCTGCTGTCCTGGTGGAAGCAGCACAGAGGGACGTAGACACCAAACCTGCCGTGAAGGAAAGAAAAAAATGGCTGAAATAACAGTGATCCTAATGGGGGGCACCTCCCCAACACGTACTGGCCCTGACAAGAGTGACAGCACATAGAAACTCCCCACTCCAGAAGCTAGCAGCCAACTCTTCTCCCCACTAAAAGGCCAGAGGCTGCAGCTTCAACACCTGTGCAGAGATGTTTTTTTAAATCCCATTTGCAAAACCAGCAGTCCCAAAGGCTCAGTTTTCAAGTGGCAGTAAAGGCCCCTCACATAAACAGCAGCTGAGGCAATTCACTTCATCAACTCTGTGCCACCTCCTCACACCTTCCCCCAGCCACTCCTGCTTCCTTTTTAATCCTAAATCAAGGAGACATTACAGCCATCGCTCTGCTTCCCACGGTGGCTCATGGCATCCCCAAGCAGCTGTGCCCCTTGCCCAGAAGGTTCAAAGTGGTGTCACTCACGGGTAGCCCAGGAAGAGAAGGTTGAGAACAGAATGGCTGCGGAAGAGGTTGACCAGAGTCCAGCAGAGCACCCATCCACAGAGGGTGAGCAGCACCAGGCGCACCATGTAGCACATCAGCGATGTTGCACCCACCTGAGAGGCCTGCAAATGGAGAGGAAACACTCAGCAGCCCTATAACAACCAGTGCGAGAAGATGAGCACAAGGGGTGCTTGCAGAGGAGGAGCAGGGAGAGGGTGCCAGGAGGTACTAGAAGAGGGATAGGTGCCCTCTTCCTCTCAGAAGCAGGAAACTGATTCTCTTACAAACATAAATGCCTTTAATTTTACTAATGATTGACAGGATCCAAAAGATTCAAATAATCACGAGTTGTGGGGCATCACTAAAATAGGGCCTTTGAAGAAAAATTCAGAGCTGCAAAGCAGAAAAATATTTTTGCTCAAGTCCCTTACTGCTCCAATGATAGCCCAGGATAGCCTGAAACCCATTTCCTCTCTCTCTGTTCTTTAGAAGGATCAGGTCTCAGCATTGTGAAAATTTGCAGCTGAGGGAAAAGAAGATGTGCACCTTCTCAATTCCAAACCCAGATTTCCATAATTTAGCTCTATTTGATGTGCAGGCTGCAGTGTAGTGAGGAGGCACCACAGCAAGAAAGCCTGATCCAATCTCCAGAGGAGAGAAGGAAACTGAGCTATGAAAAGATTCTTAAGGGTTAGAGCCAATACATGGGATGCACAAGAACCTGCATGGAAGATTTCAATGCAGAAATTTCAGTCTATGGCAATTCTTACGGAGGATGTGAACTTAAATGAAAATGGAAGAAATCAGTTGAAAAGAGCCCTTCAGAGTTCCCACCTTCTCCACTTATCTATTAAACAGGACATAACTATTCCTTTATTTAATTTACTTATTTTTAAACACTGCTTAGTTGCTTAGCCTAGAGCTGTATTAGCTATTTCAGTGGACAAAACTTCTGAAAATGACCTTTATCAGAGACTTAATTTGGCCTGGTTCTGCTCCCACAAACACAGAGAAGTGTGTGGCGACATGACCAGAGTCTGAGTTACTGAGTAACCAGGACTGGAAAAGCAGTTCTACCAGTATTCCTATGTCACTTCAGTGTAGTCAGACATTCTCCACCTGACTCTTCCCCCTCTGAGCTCCTGTTCATTCTTCTTGTCTTGGCCAGCCTCCTTATTTGCCTTATTGCTACTTGACTTGCAATTCCCTCAGCCACTTCTCTAGCACGAGACAGTGGGGTACAGTATTGTACCTGCAGAGAAAAATAAGCAAGTGGGACCACTTAATCTCCTCCTAGATGAAGAGCCAACAAAGCTACAGGACATGACTGGTCTCAAGAAGAAAACTCCAAGGCAGAAGAGCATCCTCAAAATCTTAGTCCTTCACACTCAGACTCTTCTGAGGGAAGAAACCTTCCAACCTGCAGAATTTTCCTAGGCCACAGATGACCATGTTCTGCAGCAAGTTCTACAGGCAGGAGAGGGAACAGTGGGAATGTTACCTCAGAGATAATGGCCCACACCAGCCTCCGTGCCAGCATCACTGTGATGAACGCCGCCAGGTGGTAGTCAATGAGGTGAAAATTCTGAAGGAGGAAAGAAAAAAGATCTTCACTAGGAAAAGGGACTCTGAAACCACCCAGATGGGGTGGGACTAGAAAGCTGGCTGGTAGAGAGCACCTTAGCACCTCACATAAGCATTCCCCAAATCTCTCTATTAGGGATGAAGGGAAATCAATTAACATTAGTAACACAGGAACATCTCCAGAAGCAAGATCTCCACAGGGAGATTCCTTCCCATGGAGAGGTTTCCACAGAAAACAAAACAAACCCACCCTTCAGGCAGGTATTCTTGGGGTCAAAGGGACATCTAGAACCAGAATCCTACCATGGAGAACAGGTTGCAGGTTCTCCACAGAAAAGGCCCTGAACAATCAGACAAAGGGCAGCCAAACTGGAGTCCAGAGTGAGCACACCAGCTCACTTTCCCTCTTAGTCTCAAAAATGGTCTGTAGCAACCAGTGCTTCCTGATGAAGCCAAGCTGACCTGAGAAACCTCTTCTTCTTTGGCCATGAAGAAGTTCCCTAGCTGCATCAAGTTAGACACAGCTCTTACAGCTTTTCAGTGAAGCCATCCAATATATTCTGGCCAGAAGAGTCAGTAGACTCTGAATACTGCTGCTTTTGGTACTTCAGGGACATTTTGGGAAAAAAGAATGCTTGAATTGTGATGGGAATAAACAAACGACCTTTAAGTCCTGGTGGGTAGGGAGCCCCAGAGAGAATGCTTTTACTTCTAAGCCCGTTGTGTCCAGCACGGCAGAGCTGAGCAGGAGGCTGGTGACTGGAACACCAGCACCACCTGTCGGTACAGGCAACTGAGGGACCACCTCGTGCTTCCAAGCAGCCTTTAGGACACCGTTCCAGCTGCACAGGCCGACTTTGCTCACTTGAGGCCTGCTGGCTCACAGGCAGCTTATTGGGACAGCAAGAACACTGAAACCGAGGAGGTCGAGAGCTTTACATAAGCTGAGGATCTGACTCCCTCCCCAGCTGTGCTGCTCACCTGCTCTGAGATCCTAACAAAAATCTGCACATCTTCCTTCTCACAGACTGTTGTTTCAACAGAGCCTGGGTTCGGTTGGGGCACTCACAGCAGGAGACAGCTCCTGGAGTCTCAACTCTGTGTCAAACCCTAGGGACTAGCTAGATCATGCAAACATGTGCAAGAAGTATCTCCTGAAGGAATCCTGCTGACTTCTCTCTCTCTCCTGCCATGATTTTCTCCCCTGTAAAATGGGGGATGACATGGCCCTGACTGATGGGGGTGCATGTGAACTCTTATTCACTCCCTTAATGTCAAATGCTTGGTGATTCCTGGATTGAAGAAGCATGAAAGGAGCTGTGTAATGAAAAAGCCTGAGTGATGGCACTTGCTGGGGAACTCACCAGTGAGGTGCAGGAAGCAGGGTGATTGTATGGGTACCACCAGACAGTCTTGTAGATGTTGATGTACTGAATGAAGAGGGCTACCAGAAGGTAGATGAAGAAGAGGAATTCAAAGAGAAGGCTCCCATCCAACGGCAGGTCAGGGATCCGGCAGTGACGCACAGGCTCTGGAGTAATCAGCGCTGTGATCGGAGGCGCTGACAGGCTGATGGCACTACCATTCCTGAAGCAGATGGACATCACTTACTTGGTAAACATTCTCCATCATCTCTGACACTTTCCAGGATAGAGTGCTTGAGGTTGTAAATATGAGACTGGGTATTACCAGGGGAGAGGTGACAGCAGTTTTTGCATTCCTATTTCTGACATGAGACATGAGGCTGGTGGTGACTTCCATCATCTTAGCTCAGACAAAACCCTTATCCAGAATTTTTCCTGGATGACAGCTTGATCTGTCAGAAGTGCTGTGACATGCCCAGCAACATTTCAGTAAACTTGCAGACTGAGGAGCAGACATACAGAGCTAAAATCATTAAGGATTCTGTACTACACCCAACAGTCAATATTGGCTTTCCACCCATCACCAGGACACTACAGTAGCACCCAGCCTCCTTCTCCAGCACAGCAAAGTGCCCATTGTCTTTCTGTTCATAGTTCCTCTTTTAAAAAGATGAGTAACTAAAAATGGAATGGAGTAGTTCAGCCACTTCCTAAAGGCTAACCTCTCAAGTGTTCTCACACTTCCTTCTTTTCAAGCTTTCAGAGGAGGATAGGACAACTAAAAGCTCTGGCATCCTGAACTGGTAGAGGAACTATGCTATGTCTGACTGAAACCAGATAAGCAATGCTCTCCCAAGACCCTGGGGCCCTGACTCCACAGTCTTGACGTCACTTGCTTCCAAAGAACCTCAAACTGTGCTGTCTGTCCCTCTGTCCCTGACAGAGAAGTCTGTAAAGGCCAAAGCTAAATGGCTTGGATTGCTCTACTCTGTAAGAATGAACCTATACCAGGGCCCCAGCATGCAGCAAATAGTTTCTCTGGTCTGCCAACTTTTTATGGAAAGAAGTAATGCTGGGCCCTTTCAGTTTTTATACCAAATGTGGTAATCTCAATGTCACTGCATGTCTGTTCCTGTTTCAGCCCTCAACTTCCCCAGAAAATGCAGGTCATTTTTACCAACTATGAGAATTAGTTTCATCAACCTGCAGGTCTAAAACAGAATACGGGCATCCTCCTGCCTTGTGTTTCTATTATGTAGGAGGAGGAGTCACAGCTGTACTCTGACGTGTCACATTAATTCCCCAGGGCAGTGAAGGTAGGTGAGCAAGACAAGGACTCTTCATTTGCTAGGACTCACTGCTCTGGAAACTGCTGCAGGAAAGACAAATGAAGCATTGTGATTTCCAGCCCTGTGTGATCTCTGCTGTGGCTGTTATGACCACAAGAGAGTGGTGAAGGGGAGCAGAGACCACTGCCACAATCCCCTCCACGGGGCTGGTTTTAATGCATGAAGTCAAAAGAGGGGCTGCAGAGGGAAGCATGTACCACAGCAGAGCTGAGAAGAGAAGCTGGAAGAGGTTTGTCACGCAGGCCTTGTTCCCTCTTGGATGAGCCGTCTCATAATACCACAGTGGAGGGCTCAAGGTTCCTCTCTCCCAGCCCCTCACTTTCACCACAAAGCCACGCTCCCACACAGGGTTCAGGGAGGATCAAGGCTCCTTGCTTTCAGTGCTGTCCCAACAGCCCTGCCTCTGTCCTCACCTGTTCCTCAGACCAGTCCCGTTCCCACAGCTGCCGCCAACCAGAGTCTGGAGAGAAGGCAAAGCGGAACGGCTTAGCTGCTGCCGGCTGGGTCCCCTCCTTCCACCGGGCATGACCAGGAACCAGTCCACTTCCAGTGCCTCCAGCAGGCTGTGCCCTCACACCCACACAACAATCCAAAAGCCTTCCCAAATCTGCAAAGGAGGCAGAAACATCACTTAAGCTTTAACTCTGGTCACACTCACCCAGTTCCAGCCAGGCAAATTCATGCAGAAGGAAGTCACTCTCACACACTCAGAGCCCTGTGGGACAGCCATCAGCACTGTGCCACTTCAATGGCAGCAGGTCAGTGTCTGCTTGCACATCCAGAAGGAACACCACTGTGTCTCTAAAAAGGGGCTGCTTGCATTAGCCATCAACGACTCACAGCACTTATTGCTGGCTGGAAAGCACCACTGAGCATCTCCAGAGCTGGAGATGACACAAATGTGTGCTTTATTTCAAAAGCAAACCTGGGAAGAGCCTTCTCCATGTTGTGGTTGAGCTACTAGAGCTTCACAGCTCTTTCTAGGCACTCAGCATGTTACTGGCCAGGCTCTGATGCTGGTAGGCAATTCAGACACCCTCTGGCAGAACTCTGAACAGACACACTGGTGTCCTTGAAGGAAACTGCATGGTCCAGCTCCCTTCTGTGCTAATGCCCAAATGACACCAAGGTAATACATCCATTTAAAAATGGGTTTAGCTAGCAGAAAAGTGCAGCAAAACACACATGTATGCATGTACTTCAAAGGCACATATGGGCAATGCCATAACCCAGACCTGAAAAGAAATATAATTCAGAAGTAAACTTGTACATATTTATTTACCTATTTATTTTTAATGACACACTTAAATCTATCAATTCCTTAAAATAAACTACTATGAGAGAGGCTGGGCATCTCAGAATATCAGAAACAATAGTGTCATTTCTAGCATAGAGTTTATCACTTCCCATACAATTTTTCTTCTATTTCACTGGTCTCCGACAAGACACTGCAAGGATTTTGGCAGTCAGGAAAGTTTCCAATGCAAACACAGCAGACATAAGGGAGTGAAGGATTGAACTGGAGTGCACCTATGCTGTACAGGAACAAGACACCAAGTGAGCATCTCACTACAAGGACTTTGGTGTGTCTGTGTGCCTGGAGTCTGAATCAGCTGCTCTTTTGGAAAAATATCACAGCCAGAACCAACCCAGGGGCCAAAAAAGCACATCCACCTTCTGGGAAACTCTAGATGCAGCTCTGAAATGTACAGATGGAACCTATGGTCTATTTATAATTCAGCCATCACCTCCTTTAAAATCCAGAGAAATCACAGCTGGCAGAAATGCCAGAAGTTTTGTCCGTGAGTCACAGGACTGTCACCATGAACACAGTGTGCAGGAGTACTTCTCTAAAAAATTCCCTCAAAGAATTGCCCTTTGTACTAAAATTTCCCATCCTTCATCTCTACTCCGATAAACAATTGTCATTAATGAAACCAGGATAGCAATTTTCAAACTTTCAACAAAAATCAAGATGTTTCAAAGGATGAATGCTTTCTGCATACTCACACAAAAGTCAGTTGGAAAAATCAAACCAAACCAAACCCAAAAAAACCACACCAAAAACCAGAGATCCAGGAGGGAGAGAGAAAAAATAATAAAAAGGAGATATGAAAATGCATGAAAGGCAAGCAAACATTGGAGAATATTTGTTTTGAGGTAAATAGTGTGTTTTGGCAGACCTTAATACTCTTATATCTCCAATAGCAACACAACAGAGACTGAAGCCTTCCTTACCTTTCTTGTCAAGCAAGAATTTTCAGACATTTTCCCTAGGATGTTCTAGAGTTTTATTTGGAATTATTTCTATTTCAGGAATTAAATACAAACAAGAAAATTCTCCTGCATGTGTAAGATGAGCAGGGGCAGCAACAAACAATGCAGAATTCACTTAGGGCATTCACACACTTTTGATAAACAGCTAAAGTGAAGGGAAAAAAATGAGGAAAAACCCCCAAAAAGAACAAACTTGAAAGCCATTTTAAGCCAAATTTAGCTACCACAGGGCCTGTGGTAGCTGAAACAATTGGTCTGATTCGACCTACAGGATATTTATGATAATGGATGCAATATGTTGGTGGTCTAATTAGTGCTATTAACAGTGGAAGGTATTTTATAGCACATTCAATAATTCATGTAAATAGTTTAACAGGTCTCATTAGTATCACCCCATTAGTATGCCTCACACGCTCACCAATACAGACACTTGGACACAGAGCAATTGCAATTGCAGCCCCTGGCTTTACAAACCAGTAAAATGCAGGTTTCTACCAGTAAAAACAACTGCCTGTGGAAAGAAGCCATCCTTAAAGTCAGTGCACATATTTTAAATGCACTTGAATAAGCCCTTTCACAGTGATTCATGAACATATAGACTGGGCAGTTCCTCAAGCCAAGCTTTAAATAACTTTAAATACTGGAGTCAGAGCAAATTAGGTAGGCAGTTGTTGGAGCAAAATCTGCCTAAGAACCATCCCTTTTTTTGTTGGCTTTTATTTTCTAAAACTAGCCACACAAAACTGAAGCTCCAGAGATAAAGCTAAACAAAGCAGTGAGATTACACATCAGATTGTCTCTAAGTCTGCTTTGTTTTGGCCTTGAACCAATCAACAGCCCTCCTTTTTGAGGAGAAAGACATGGGGAAAAGCATTTTTATAGCTTTCAATTAATAAACAAAGGCATGATTCTACTTTGAAAACAAGAAAAAAAGGTGTCCATAAACCCTTACTCCAACAGATAATATTCCAAGTCATATTAAGTATTAATGAAGAGTCCACCCTGCTCCCTTCCCTGTTTGCATTCCCCACCCCATCAGTGATCATATTTTATAGAGTCATGCAGAAAAAGTGAGTAATGAAAGATAAAAGCTTTTCCTGACAATACTCTTCAGTCCATTAACGTGATTCCATGCTGTTCTTTCCAGTTCACTTACAATTTCCCTCAAAAAATAAGCAACATGCTTGTAGTCCCTTCATCCTCAAATCCTCAGAACCAGTATTACCTAGCCTCCAAGATATCCTCTCTGAGGCAGATGTGGGCATCATAAAAACACACAGGCAGAATCTGGAGAGCAGCTACAAAGAGCAGACAGTGGTGCTGCCCAGGCACAGGGAATGGATGTGGGTACGGACAGCTCTTGGGTTCAAGGGCAGACCATGCTTCAGGACAGAAGCAAAACTTTCATTTGTGACACAGTTACAAGAAAATCCAGAAACAGAAGGTATCAGATGCTCTGATTTCCAGTTCCTGCTTTTAGGACCACAGAAAGCACTCGGTAATTTTTTATTTCTGTGCCACAATACCCTTCCTGCCCATCAGCTCCCCAGCTACCCTGACGAGGAAGGATCGTGGCAGGATCAAGGCAGGCAAGAACCACAGCTGTGCGCACGACTTTACTGATAAAAAGCTAGGCAGATGAATTACTCACCAATTCAGAGGTGAAACAGTGTGCAGCCCTGTCCTGCTCACCAAGGCCCATCACTCAGAATCATGTTTCTGCATCAGCAGCTGCCCGAACAGCTCTTTCAAGAGGCAATCAGGAGAGAGTCAGTGACTCATCAGAATGGCAAGTGTGCCTGTTTCCCATCTCTTTGCTGGAAACGCTACAAAGCTCAGTCAGTTATTTTGATGGTGTTAACATTTTTTAATTGGAGAAAACTCCAAGCCTCTCCAGTCTTGTTGGGAAGCTTGCTGCACCGAGACATGAGAACTCCCAGAGTGTGGGAGACATTCAGGTGGCTTTCCTTGGCTCCACAAGTCCTAGCACCAGTTGCTCACAAGAGCAGAAAGTGAAACATGGCCATCCTCACTTGATGCAATGCGGCTCAAGAAGACCACAGGTCTCTCACTGCAACTCACCGTCTCAATTACAGCAACCTTCTTCCTGCTGAGGAAGCATGTGACAGCTGGGGGTGAAGCAACACATGGCCTCTGTGGTGAGGGACTCTCTCTGCCTCCACAGCAACACAGACACTCCTGGCAAGACTTTCCATTCAGGGTGCCCATGCTCTATGGAAACACACCTGCCACGTGTGCAGAGCTCCCTGGCAGGGAGGCGTAGCCAGCCACCCCCACGACACGGCTGCAGACCTATGCCACTGCCACAAAGCACAATTAGTTTCTGAAACCGAAAATGCTCTCTTGGTTGCTAATGTCCTCAACTCAACTCACTGCAGCTGGTCAGCCTAATCCTAAACTTGCAGTTGTCCAGCAATCCTAGTATCTTTGCAAATTATCACAAAAGTTTTCCTTTGAACTTTTGAGAGTCCTAGTTACTATACTATATTTTAACTTCCTTTTAGTGTGAACTTCTTATTTATTTATTTAAATTAAAATAAAAAAACAACCAAAACAAATCCAAACCCCCATTCTGACAGCTGGAAAAACAGACACAAAGCTAATAATTGACTCACCCAATATAACACCAAAAAGAAAAAAAAAATCACCAGAAAGCCAAGGAACAGAGATGGCTGCACCCAAGCCTTGGTCACAAGGCCATCTTGTCAGCACCCTCACATCTGCCACAACGGAAGCCACAAAGACACAAAATTTCTGTGAAAGCCCCAAGTGGTCTGGGAATAAAATAAGCATTTAGTTGTTGCAAGGGAGGAAACAACCGACAGGTTATCAGATGGAAAGCTAAATATTTGGCTTGCACAGAGCTGCCCCGGTGCTAAGTCAACACAACCTTTCAACTCCGGCTGGATCCAAAGGCACACACCCGCCACCTGGCCCAGAGCTGGGAGGCTAAACCGGTTAGGAGGGAGGTCTCCAAGTCAGCACATTTTCCAAGCCCTCATGCCATACAGAGAGATGGATTAATATGGGGATTTGGCACAGAGAGAGACAGAAACCCCCTGAAGTGCAGCCCAAACAGGAGAGCTGGGTGGGGAATCACCACTGTCAGGTGGTGCACCAGCAAGACTAATTTTTGCTCAGTGACTAATAACCTCCTCTGTAAAAACAAAACCAACCCATCAAGACCACGTCAGTGTAGGCTTTTCTGATACAGCACAACTCTGGCTGAAGAGGTTCCATCTATCAGTCCTCTACACAGATGCCAAAACCAAAGGGTCAAAGTAGCAAGATTATGGCAAGCATTAACAAACAGGATATATAGTGTATGATTTATTTCTAGTGTTTTCAACAAGGAAGAGTAGAGCTAAGCAGAAGGGTAAGTGGGAAAAATAGAAGTTTTAGCTTAAGACAAGGGGAAGGCAGAGCCTGCCATTTGCAGCTGCCACAGTATTTCAAATACCCACATACAAAAATGGGAATGGGAAAGAAAAGTTTTTCAGGAAAAGCCTCTCAAAGTTAAAGTGCAGTGAGCTCAGTCAGCTCATTTTGCAGACATGTTAAAGTATAAGACATAGATTTAAGTTCTTAATACTCCAGATAAACAAAATTATCTAAAAAAGCCATCTTTAAACACAGAGAAATCCTATAAATTCCCTAAAAATCCTCTCAAAGACCTTACTTTAGGGGGTGCAAGAAGTCGTCTCCAGAGGTATGCAGGCAATTGTGTCCCCTTCAGAAGATAGGCGAGTTCAGGTTTTGTGAATCGGAGGAAAGTTGAGACACACACTAAGCACTCCAAACAAACTTCTGGAGAGTACAAGAACAAAGCCACAATTCCTGGTGTAATAAAACAGTATTACCTTATATTGCCATATAATTACCTTGTGCAACTAACTGCTGCAGCAGGTCAAAACAAACAGCTTAGGAACACTTCAATGAATGACTGTAGTAATTTTATGAATGAAGAAGAGAATTTTTATTCCAAAAGGAAGTAAAAAAAAAAAACAAAACAAAAAAAAAACCAAAGCCACAATGCAAGACCCTCAAGGCTCAGCAGCTCCAAGTGGCCAATAACACTCCTCACCAAGCCAACAAGTATTACACAGCTAGCAGCAAGACATTAACATTTTCTTTGGCTTCTTCTGATGTATACAGCAACACTCCCAGCCAAATAGTGGATCCAGGAATAAAGAAAGCATTGGCTTACTCTTGTGTGAGAACAAGACAGAACTGCAAAGCCAAGCTTTTCCAGCAGCAGAGGGAAATGCAGGCCTGACCAGTTGGCTCACAGTCTATTTTGGTCCTCGAGTTCCCATGCTTCTGAATTGTCTGGGGAAAGGGAGATCCAGCCCAGCCTCATCCAGAGTGAGAGGCCCAAACTAAAGAGCTGCAGGGAATTACTGAGCCAGACAGGTCTCTGAGTGTGTAACAACACAGAAGTTTAAACTCCAGCTCCACATTACTGATAGAAACTGAAGTTCTGTTTAGAAGGGGACACTGGTTGGGAAGTGAAACACAAGGGCAGCATTTCAGCAGCCACAACACAGGCAAAGCTATCAAAGCTGGCTGCTAATACAATTTATCAACACGCACTCACTCCTAAGAACATCTTGCACCAGAGCTCTTCAGTAAACATTATGCACAGCCACAGCCCTGCTAAAACACATCTACAGATCACTCTCCATTATACCATGCCACGTGCAGTAACTGGCAAAGTCAGGGAATTTTAGGTATGGCCACTGAAATTGGTTTTTTCCCAAGATATCAAGGCAAATGCACAACAAAACAGATCACTCCTGACAGGGAAAAAAGAAGGGAAAAAAAATGGAAGATGCTCATGCTTTAAGAGGCCATCTTTTAAAATTTTCCATCAAGCAAGCCACCAAAATAGGCATTCTCCTCCCAACCTTGAACACAAACCCACAGTCTAATGGCCTGAGCACAGGCCAGGATATCTTCTGCTTTTTAATCTTTCCTCTTCAACTGACTTCCAGGGAACTTGTTTTACCAATACAGACCTCAGTTTCCTTATCCAAAACATGATAAACTGTTCAAAAGTACTTCTCCTCCCAAGGGTCTCTGTATGTAGTAGTGGATATTTTTTACAGTATTATTTTAGCGCTTTAGACAAGCTTTTTTTAAAACAAACAGAAGCAGCTTTCCTGCTGGTTTTGTTCCTCTGCCAATCCCTATGTTTAATTTAATGGAGATCAGCCATGATGACAAATCATGGGGAGTCACTAGGATTTTTCTATTTTGTCCTCAAATAGCTAAAAATAAGGCAGGCATCTGCCATCTGTAGCAATGAGCTTGAGCGCATGAAGAAGCACACAAGTTAAAAACCACTTCCTTGAGCCTTTCACCAAGTCATCACACTGGGAGTCACAGCAGAAAGTATCAGTGAGACAATGCCTTGCACATCCCTGATGCTGCAGAAAAGCAACAATATTGCAGGGGATTTTAAACACATTGTAATTTGTATAAATCATAAATTCGCATTAAAATATAAACCACATATGAGAATGCACCGATTCTCCTCTATTTGCCTCTTAAGCAACAGGTTCAGGTGACATAAATATTCCCCACAAAACAGTAAGTCTTCAATTCAACCTCCAACCTTTGGTAGGCAGGACTCAGAACTTTGTATGACTGTTTACAGAGCAACTAATCCAGCAGATTGAGAAAATGCAATAGGATACATTAATCCCTTGTATAATTAATTATACTGAGACTAATCCAGCTGTCTGAATCTGCATCCATGCTCCCTTATATGTATTTCTGGGCTGCAGATGTCTACTGATAATTTTGCTTTAAACCAACATTTCCAAACCTCCAAAGGATGCCACTGCACCCTGTCTCTCAGGACAGCTCTCCTGACCAGGCTGCATTATACCCATCTCTCACCAGAAGTCTCATTTTTGCTTGCAATACCCAAAAAAATCAAGAAAAGGTTGGAAATAACTCACCAATGACAACAGCCCCCAAAGAACAGCATGAAATCTTCCAGGACAGTTTGTGAAAGCTTATGAGCTATTTTCCCAAATCACACAGCTACTACAGATTTACCTCTGGCATTAAAAATCCACCTGCTAACAGCTATTCCTACCTAACTGCAACTTACCTAACTGTGATAGGGTTAGAAACAAATGGACTAGAGTTCCATTTTTAACTGCCAGAAGAAAACTTCTTCCAGGATTTCATGACTCTGTGGCACAGGGAAAACACTGAGACTAAGGAGAAGGATGATCTCTGAATTGCTACTATTTTGTTGCTTTCCTCCACATCCATCTTCAGCAACTGTAACTCTGCTGAGGAGTACTGAGTGGCCCAACTGGTTTCTGACCTGAATGCTCATGGAAACTGGAAGCCACCTTAACAAACATTTCTAGCACATTTGCTCTTGGCTGTATTCTCAAACATCCAGATTGTGTGCCTATAGAAAGAAAGAAAGTGTTGAGTTTTATGAAAACCAGGTTGGAGTCAATCTGCATTACATATCCTTTCAGAGAAAGATTTGTGTTCAGTGTTACTCAGTTTCAAAACCAGCAGAAAGGTCTGGGACTTCCCCTTAAAACACTGCATACAGAAGTAATTTTTTTAATCCAAAATTTCAGAACTAAGAGGAATGTCTTAGAAGAATAGACAAAAAAGTAATTATGCCTGTCTGCTTTTGAGTACTAATAACAGTACATCTACATTGGCAATGTTACATCAGCACAAATGTTGCTAATACAGGCAGGCCAGTAAGATGAGAATTGCTCTATTTCCTTAGCTTCCACTGAATCTACTGTGGTAAATGCCATTAGTGTCTCTGAAAAACAAGTAACTTCAGCAAGGCTACTTGTTTTTCTCTTGCTTATCTGTATAATGCAAAAATTTTTATAAGAATTCATCATCTTACAAGCAGAATAGAAACATGCACTGCAAAGTAGGAAGCAAAATGTTTCATTCCCATTTTACAAACGGAAAGACTAAATATAAGACTAAGAAATAAAAGCCTTGCATTTTCAAAATTATTAATGATTTTGAATGCTCTGGTTAAGGCAGTATAGACACCTCTATTAGTAGGAACATGGACACCCAGAGCTTCTGAAAGTCAGGTCTCAAATGCTGCAAAGAGACAGCCAGGAATGAGCTGTACAGGAGGCATGCAGGTGTTCTATGGTCTTGAGATCAGGAGAACACACTGAGCACAGGTCAGTGTGTCACTGATATCACCTGAGCTTCTTGTTGCTCCAAATAAATCAAACCTGGAAGACATTACCACCTGCTGTGCTGGTTTGTACAGCAAAACCTCAGGCAAAGAAGCTCAAGAACAGGAACAAGGAGTAGCTGCATCTACACCTGAAGAACTTCCAGTCACATAAGGGACAACAAGGAGCACATGAAGTTTCAGCCCAAACCCCAGAGGGGTCAGCATTGCCTGGCTGCACACCAGTGAGCCCAGACTTTACCAGCAGAGTATCATCCAAGCACCTTGGCTGAAGGAGTCTGCACTCCAAGAGCTGCAGCTGGAAGGAGGAATGAGTGTCAGAAACAGTCCAACAGCAGGAGTGCCAGGAGGCGAGCCATGGAGCAGACTGTGGGTTAAAAAGGGCTGATGTTCTCTGCCTTCAGCATCCTGTAAAATTGGAGCTGAGCCATTCCAGTCCCACCCCTGTACTAGTGTATCCCTCTGCCAGAAATCTCTTCTGGTTACAGTGAGTTAACAGATAGAAGGGATGGTTACAGAAGGGATGCCTTGTCTCCAAAAATTTTGTAACTCACCCCTTTGTAACACAGACATCTCATTTCTCCACTTACAGTCGTAACAGATGACAGGGACACGAGGGGCCCCTTACTCACAATGAAAAGCATGCATGAGAGCAATCAGAGATTGCAAACAAAGCTGCCTCTGTTTCTGCTGTACATTCACATGTTAAAATGATGCTGGAGTAGGGAAGGAGCTGCCTCACCTAATAGGGAAAATCATGCACCCAACTGCTACCCTATATAAGAGAGAATGAGTGATACAATGTTTTCACTGCGGTACAAAAAAGAACAGCGAGAGAAATGTGCACCCACATCCATTCTGGAAACGGTACCTTACGGCGGGTTGGATTTACCTGGACTTACAGAAGATTGCCTCAGCTCTTCATCTTCCACAGGACAGTGCCCTTGCAGGACTCGTTACGTAGGGACAGCGCTTTAGAAGCCCAAAGCGCACTCTGCCGTGACCCCAGGCCGACTTCCTCGTGTTTAATCCTCAACCCTCCTCCCCCAGAGCACCCGGCTGCCAGCAGCGTGCGCGGACCTCCTGCTTTAACCCAAACACAGCAGGAAAAGTCTCGAAGGAGAAGCCCGGGACCAAATGCCGTAACTTACCAGCCGGACGGAACAGACCCGGCGGAACCCTCCCTACCACTCACTCCCCCACAGCCAGACGCACACACCCAGGTTTCCGAGGGGGCTCCAGCGGTCGCAGCCCGCCGCCCGCCTGGGTCGCCGTGGCTCTGCCCACGGGAGCGGCGGGGCCGTACTCACACATCCAAGCGCGGGCGGCGGCGCGGCTCGGACATCAGCCGGCAGCGGGGTCCCCTCCGGCGGCAGCGGCCCGGCGGCGAGACCCGGCCCCGGCAACCCCCGGCCCGCCCGGGGAGAACGAGGCTGCGGTGGCGGCGGCGGTGGGAGCCCCGCGGAGCGTCCCTCCTCCCGCCGGGCAGGCCCACCTCGCCGCTGCCCCGCGGCGGGGCAGGAGCAGGGGAAGGGATAGGAGGAGAAGAGGAGGCAGGCGGGCGGGTCCGGCCTCGGCGCCCCGGCGCGGCCCTGCACAGCGCCGGCTACCCGGGAGACGTGGCAGTGAGGGCTGATGCTCTCATCACGCGGCGACAGCGGCGGCGGCCCGCGGCGGCAGCGGCCGGCCCAGGGAGGGCAGGAGCCGCGGGGAGGGCGGGGCCGCGGCCGCGCCGCGCCGCCATCTTGGGGGTGGCAGGAAGGGCTCAGGTGCTGCCGCCGGCCAGGCCTCGCTGCTGGGGCTCCTCAGATCCACACCGAACCACGTAATCGATCAGGTCGGAAAAGACCTCTGAGATCGTGGAGACCAACCTATGGCTAACCACCACCTTGACAACCAGGCCATGGCACTGAGAGCCACGTCCAGTCTTTTCCTTAAACACCTCCAGGATCCGTGACTCCACCAGCTCCCTCGACAGCCCATTCCAATGTCTAATCATCCTTTTAGTCGAAGAAATTCCTCCTAAAGGCCAATACAAACCTCCTCTGGCACAGTTTAAGACTGTGTCCTTTTATCCTGTTGCTTGTTGCCTGGGAGGAGACCAAGAGAGTGATATAAGATCCCCCCAAGCTTTCTCTTCTCCAGGCTAAACCCCAGCTCCCTCAGCTGCTCCTCAGAGGACTTGTGCTCCAGACCCTTCACCAGCTCCGTTGCCCTTCTCTGGACTCGCTCCAGCATCTCAATGCCTTCCTTGTAGTGGGGGGCCCAGAACTGGACACAGGACTCAAGGTGTTGCCATGTTTTGCATCATGAGATGCCATTTAAAACAATCATACTTAACTGCTTCATTACAGCCAGCACATCTATTTATCCCATGGCTGAACATCAGCAGCTGAAAAGCCCTTCTGCCATTGCCACCCTCAGCCAAGGTGGAGAAGGCTCGTGCTCCCATTTGAAAGCAGCACAGTATCCACCCCTTATTCTACATCATTTACATCATGCCAGCTCCCATGCTTTCAAATATCCCATCACCCTTCCCGTTCTTTGGTGTATGCACACAGATACCATTCCCTGTCTCTGTAAAATGTGAATTGAGTTAATTTTGTCCATGACCTTGAGCTCCATTTGCCATTACCGACTTCCAGGGCAGAGAAGATGGTGTGTGTTGTTGGACTGTTGCATGGTGAAGCCAGTTCTGATTGCATCACCATTGCACTTATCCATATTTATCAAAGTTCATTCTCTAATTATGTGGTAATCAAAAGGGAGTTGGGTTCAGATCCCCAAATCCAGAGTTGGTGGAGTCAGGTGCTGCAAAGTGCCCAATGCACTGATGAGTGTATATGTGATAGCACACAGTCTTACATAGCAATTACATCAAACAGATTAATAAATTGTAGTTCCCACCCATAATCAAATACTCCTGAGGCACACACCGGACTTCCCCATCCTCCTGAATTACCCATCAAGTACCCAAGTCCTTGAACAAAAGCAATCCCATGGATTGCTTGGGCTTTGCCTGAGGCAGGAATAACCCAGACGTTTTCCCTTGACATATTTTTCATGTGCACCACTGGATATTTACCCCATTGTCCAGTATGTAAAAGTTTTGACTGAGCAGTGCCAGGCTAACTGACAGATTCCCTAGTGCTGACTAACCAGGTGGCTTTTGCTAAATGTTTGAAGATTCCACCACCCATTGCTCTCAGTGCAGTCTTTAATAGTTCATTGCACTGCTGAATTTTTCCTGCAGGTTGGTGTGCAATAGGGTGTGTAATATCCACTCAATACTATGTTTTTAGCCCAGTTGTCTACAAGGCTGTTTTGAAAGAGTCTCATTGTGTAAGACAGTTGTTTATGGCCTACCAGGTCCCCACAAAACTTGCTTTTCAAGGCCCAGGATAGTTTTCTGGGTGGTGGTATGGGGCCCAGAATATGTTTCCAGCCCTCCAGTAAGCCCATGGATGATCTGTGGGAGTGTGATTAATCCACTCTTCCAGGTCTCCTTGTATTTATATTTCAGCCCCTGTCCTTCATAATGGAGAATCTTTAATCACTTGACTGGCTTAATTGCAGCATGCTGCACATTCATGGATAGCCTGGGTGACAGTGTCCATGGTCAAATCTACCCCTCAATCACTCTCTAATCTGTCTATAATTGCATTGCTCTCTTGATGGCCTGAGGTGTCATAGGCCCACTGAGCTATAAATAATTCACCTTTATGTTGCCAATCCAGATCCGCCTGAGCCACCTATTGGTTGTTTTGGTGTTCTGCAGTGGCCTGACTCGAGCACATGAGCATTTATGTGATGCTCCTTCCCAAGGAGGTTCTCCACCCAGGCAGCAATATCCTGCCACAGTGCAGCAGCCCAGGTGGGTTTACCTCTGCACTGCCAGTTCCTCTGCTTCCATCACTGCAACCCCCTCCACAGGGCATTTGCCATCATCCCTGAGTCAGTAGAGTGGTAAAGTATTGGCCATTTTCCCCATTCAACAATGTCTAAAGCCAGCTGCATGGCTTTCACCTCTGCAAACTGACTGGACTTACTTTCTCCTTCAGCAGTTTCTGCAACTTGTCACAGGGCACCCCATACAGCTGCCTTCCACCTCCAATGCTTTCCTACCAACACATCAGGACCCATCAATAAACAGGGCGTATTGCTTCTCAATTTCTGATAATTTGTCATACAGTGCAGCCTCTTTGGCACATGTCACCTTCTCCTATGACCATATTCTGAAATCTTTACCTTCTGGCCAGTTATTGATCACTTTCAAGATTCCTGCGTGCCTGGGTTTTCCTATTTGAGCTCGTTGAGTGGTCAGTGGTATCCCATTTATTCCATGTAACCTCAGTTGTCTGAAGTGCAGAGGACACCTGCCCTTTGAGCATCCAGTCCAGCAGAGGTAGCCAGGGTGCCAGGAGCAGCTCTGCTTCAGTACCAGTCACTTCCAAAGCAACTCAAACCCCTTCATAAGGTGCAATTATCTCTTTTTCAGCTGGAATGTAGCAAGCCTTAGATCCTCTGTATCCCTGTCTCCAAAAGCCATGGGTTGACTTCAAGCTGCCCATGGTGCTTTCTGCCAAAGGTTCCATGTCAGGTCAATCTCCCTGGCTGCAGCAGAGAGCACATTTCTAACATCTTGCCCTGCCCTGGCTGCAGCAGAGCATTTCTAACATCTTGCCCTGCCCAGACTGGCCCAAGGGCTATTGCATGAACTATCTCCTGTTTAATTTGTTCAAAGACTTCTTGTTGCTCCAGGTCCCATTTGGTACCACCCTTCTGCTGGGTCACTTGATAGAGAGGACTGTAATTTGGAATGTGCATTCTCCAAAAACCCAGAACACCTAAGAAATCTTGTCTTTCTTGCTAGATGCTGGACATGTGGCTGTTGTTTCGCTGATCACACCTACTGGGATCTAATGATGTCCATCTTGTCTGGGTGACATATAACATCTTCCTTGAAGGGATGCTTTGACAGAAGCCTGCTTCAAAGGCTGAGGACTTGTATCCCTTTCCTAATAAGCTTGTCAGTGCTCCTTTCCCTAGCGAATAACCCCAAATGATTGGCTTCCCTACTTTCTAATTCCAGGCTGCTAGTCCCACTATCCCAGCATTTTAGCAGCCAAGTGATAATGTGTTCACCTGGACAATAGATGAAATCTTTTCCTACAATGCATAACTCACTCAGTGATAGGGACTGAGTGGTGATTACCTTTTGTTCTGCTTCTTCCTCCTTTTCTTGGGGTGGCCCTGCTTTGTCCCCCTTTTCTAAATTAGCAGACTTTTGTGTCCATTTCTTTTTGTTTATAGGAGTGACTGACACTGACGTGGGTTGGGTCTCTGGTTCAGCTGCAGTCTCTGTCACTGGGGTTGGAGTTGTTGCAGTGCCTAACGCTTTGCCATCAGATCCAGACCATCTCGTCCCCTTGAAGTACTGAAGAGTGTTGAACAGTGATCAATAGGTGTGGGCCAGGCCCCAGCACATGTCAGTGACTTGAGTCTGGAATTGACAGGGTAACAGCATTCTTTTCCCAAATATTTATTCTGCACTTGTTCAGGGAGGAGGCTCCAAGACACTGGAGGTGCCCACTGTCCTGGGTACTTGCCACATGCTATCCCACACATCCTGCTACTTTTGACTATCCAAACTCAGGGAATTCTCTTGGTCTTATTCTTAAATAGTTCTTTAACTGTAAACAAGACCTGGAACACATTCAACATTCCTGGAAGTAGGACCGTGCTGGTTTCAACATCACAAGGACATTCATAGCTTTCAAAATTCTCAAACACTACTGTAATTAGCCTGGCAGGAAAGGGGAAAGTGTGGAAAGATATCTCCTCCATAGGTGGTCTCCTGGAGGAGGAAAGACAAAAGGTGTGATTATTGGTAGTTCCCAACAGATGGCTCTCGAAGAACAGAGGTGAGCAATGCTGAGTACACACACCAGATTAGTCTTGCAACCAGTAATTCTATCATATCACAAGCCAGCATTACAAAGTACAATAAAATGATAACCTCAGCCCAGACCTCAAAGGCGATAAAGCCAAGAGAGGGAACGCGTGCTGCAAGCAAAGTGCTGCATAATACAGCCCTGAGAACAAGTGCAATGACTCTGAGAGCAAGTAAATCAATGTTGTGACCAGTGATCGTTAAACCAAAGCAGTGAATGCTTATAACAAATTTGTTTTAACGTGCTCTGGTCAGATCTGTACTTATCTCAACCCTCAGTGTTTCATGTTGGGTTCCAAAAAGGATATTGACACAGTGTAACACCA